CCCGACCCCCAATGGCTTTAGATGCTGCAGCTTCTGTGAAGGCTGTAAGGGGAAAGGCTGGAGGGGATCACACCCGCCTGCCCATGGAGAGAGAGAGCACGACCCGTGTCCGCAGAGATGCCCTGTGATTGTCTCTGCCATGTCCTGACACAGAGGGATGCTTCTCTTCCTGAGCCCCTCAAGCCCAGCGCGAGTTGGTTGTTGATGAGAGGAAAGAGTAGGATCTCACACCCCTGCCCTTAGCCAGCTCTATACACCCCCCACCCCCACTCCACTCCCAGGCACACGGACACAGCAAGGGATGAGGGGGAAGCCTAGGGCTCCGGCACTGCAGCAAAGGCCCATCTGTTGCCCATGCTCCTTATGCCAGGAGGGCACTGATTGTGAGTGTGCGCCAAACCTGCAGCAGCCTATAAGGAGTAAAAGGGGGATGTGCGTGGGGAGGGATGGGAAGCAATGTAAAAATAGATAATTAAATATTCTCCCCCCACCCATCCCTGTGTCAGAGTGCTGTAATCCCCCATTGAGGGTTGCACACAAAGGACTATGGGCTCCCTGGCTCTCCCCACTTCTATAGGGCTGCTGGCAGAGCTCAGGGATTTGCTAGCTATAAATATCTATATATTGGTTCTAAAGCAGTGGAGGCTTGTGCAATTCCGCCATCGCGAGATCAGGCTCTGTATGAGCACAGCAAAGGTGATGGGGGGAACAGCTTGTGCTGCGGCTGCAGACCCGTGCAGACAGCTTGCGGAGCGGACAGAGGGAGGCAAAAAGAGGAAGAAGCCAGGCAAGGGAAGGGGAAGCCAGATGAGGCAGGGAGAGAGTGGATTGAGCTGTCACAGGCTGCACTTCTCTCAAGGGGTTTCTGATGACAACTGCAGGGAAAACTTGGACCGCCGCAAAGCCCTTCTCCATCTCCTAGAGTAGACCTGGGACCTCTCTAAGTACAGAACTGGAATCATAAGGGAAACTGAACCCCTACCAGGACAAAGCCCTGAGAGCCCTCTTCAAAGAGAGGCCCTCCACTCAGCAGCAAACCCCACCCTATGAGTGGGGAAATTCAAGTCACCAAGAGCAGCCATCATTACCCCAAGTGCAGCTTGAGTCATCAGGAAACCTGCAGCCCCCTGAGAACAGACATTTAAGTCGCCACCTACACCCCCGCCCCAACAGCAGGGCCTGAATCACCAGGAACCCCCAGTCCTTCAGAGTGGAGCTTTTGTTTTCTGCATCCCTCCTTCCAAAGGGGCATTTGAGTCAGCACTAAACACCTTGAATGACAAGTCACTTGTCATTCCTTATGGATAGAGCTTGAGTCACCATCTGCTCCTGAGAGGAGAGCACAAGTTGACTGGGGTCTGCCCAAATCAGAGCTCAAGGCAGCTAAGAACCTCCTGGAGAGGGGAGTGTGAGATGATGGGAATCCTGGTTGAAAATGCAGCTCCAGTCTCCAGAGCTCCCATTTCTGGAGCAGAAGATCCATCCAGAGTCTTTGCTGTTCTTTAGACCAAGTAGTAAGAGTGGGGAAGATGCCTTATAAGCCAGGATTACAGAAGAGTATTCCTCTTGCTTCATTTCTGGGGATGTCCTGATTTCCTCCAGCTTCACATGCTTGCAGACATCCTCTAGGTTCGGAATTAAAGCCCCCAACCTCATGTACAGCAGAGTGGGGATGAAGCCTTGAGTCTCTCGCCAAGTATCACAGAGCTCCCATTCCAGTGTGGGACCTCCCTCTCCACCCCAAGATGATTTTGCAGCAGTGATGGGAAATCTGCTGCAGGTGTGACGTGCCCTCCTTGCAAGGGTGCTCTATTGTACCTGCATAGCTCAGAGTGAATCATCTGGATATTCAGGAGGCTCTGATAGATACAGAATGCACATAGTCAAGAGAGAGGTGAGAGATCTGCCCAGTTCATGGGGGCAGGCAGGTGAAGTATAATACCCCTCTTCTGATGTGGCGACCAAGCTTCTGGCTGTAGCATGTCTGGATATGCGCACGCACACACACATGCCTTTGATCCACAATGCTTACAATCCCACCCCAGGTCTGGGGTGCCTAGAGCATTCTGAGTAATTTTTTAGTGCAGTTTCAAAGCTGAGCCACACTTCTTCCTCAAATACTTTACTGCAAATATCAGTAAAATTGGAAAGAGAAAGAGTTTCCAGTGCTGCTTAGAGGATTTATCTAAATAATGCCGAGGGTTCATTTAAGTAAGAGATAAAGAAGAGTTGGTGTAAACATAGTGAGGAGGGCAGGGTTTTGGGGCAGGCCAACAGTTGAACAGAACTGCCTAGAAAACTGAAATCGAGACCCTCCCTCCCTGCCCATTACTGTGGAGATGATACCTAATGGTCCCTGGGTAAGTGAGTCTTCCTTGCGATTGTAAAGCCTGTCAATACTTAACATTAGCCAGGTGTGCATGGATGAGTACAGATGTATTGGTCTGTATATTTCTACATGGATGCTGTATGCATGAAGCATGTGTTCTTTGTATACATTGTATGAATTTGTTTGTGCTTGTCTGGTGCACGTATGTCTTGTGCGCACATTTGTGTGGTCCAGCTGGGTATTGTGTATCAAGTGTGTCTTTGCAGAGACAGGAAGTGGATCACAAGTCATGCGTGCAGCGCAGTGTTTTTCATGTGCAGGTGCATTCATTTGTATGTGTCGCTTAAGTTTGAGTGTACTTGTGTATTTGGAACTGTGCAGCTAAATGTATTTGTATGTATGTAGCATATGAATTGTGTACTGATATAGACAGTGCACATTTGTTTGCTGTCTCTCTTCTTTCTTTCTCCTGCCTGATCCATCAGCCAGGAGAGAAGCTGTTCATTGGGTCCGGGTTGCCAGCATAGTCTGGATATCCCATCATGAGTTATCCTGGTACAAGCATCTTTCAGATGCACCTTCCTTCCCCCTCTCCTAAAACGACTGTCTTCTCCCACACAACAGGCTGTAAAGAGAGAGGGAGAGATATGGGCAGTATGGCAGTGGGCAGGGTGAGTAAGCCAGTGCCAGCATTTGTAAAGACTGGCTAGTTTGAGGTGGGGTTATTTGCTCTGAAATGAGCTCTTTGTACATTGTTGGAATCTGTGACCCAATCAGAATGGGATGTAACTGGAGGCGGAGGAGGTGGTGCTGATGAAGACTGGTACAGCTGACAGCAGCTCTAGTGGCGGGGGGG